ATACCTCTTAAATGAATTATGGAAAAAAATGAAAATTCTTATTTGCAAGCATCTAGCAGTAATTTGGTACGAAGTCCAACATCAAACAAACTACAAAATGTATGCGTAAGGTCCTCCAGCCATTCCACATCGCAAATCCATTTTCTGCCTTATTCATAAATGAAAATATAAATAGCACAAGCAAGTTGGGGAAATGTTACCACAAAGCTTCAATGTTTGATGTCTTTGCATGTGTTTACATCTATACTTTCGATGCGATTTTGTTTGCTTTCTATAAAGAGAGTACTACCTACCTTTCTAGACCCTTGGAAAAAAACTGTAATTGCAAGCTATTGATGCTGGACGAAGATTTGAGACCAGTTTTGTAATGGACCCAACAGTTATGTTTGGAATATTAAACTCAGAAGGAAAACAATCATCCTCTATTGTTGTCTCGAAACTGCTTACCCACCATTTGAAGCCCGGCTACTTATCTCACGATCTGCCTCTTCCTGTGTTATGCGCCTCCCGGTATTTAATTTGTTCCCTTTCAATTTCTGCCTCGTTCATTAATTTGTGAAGAAGAGGGGAAACTGCACCTATTATAGCCAAGAAAAGTGTATGGCTTTTCACATCTAGTTCTTCTCAAATGTCAGTTTAGGATCCTGAATGCATCCCTTTACTTTTTTTAAAATTGTATCCCGCCCTCTGGACTATTCTTTATGGCAGCCTCTTCTTCATCTAAGCTTGTTCACCTGCAGTTTTGGAACGATCTTTACTTCTGAGGCCAGTAAAAGACCATGTCTTACAAATCTCCTTAATAACAGCTCCCAAAATACAAATGTGCATCCTATCTGCAACAGCAGAGTTCTGCCCCCAAAACCCAACAAAGCTTATTTCCAAACATATGTGCTATCAACCCACTATTACAGATTTCTGTCTTTTTTGGGGAGGGTGAGGGGAGCGATAGTCCTCCCCCCAACATACCATGTCTTTCTTCTATTCTTTTTCTGCAAATAGCACATTTTTAAACAGTCAGAGCCCATTCTGTACTCCTGCTTTGTAACTTTTCCCTACTGCTAGAGAAAGCGCTCTGGAAGAAAAGACAGAAGCTCATCTGGGACTACAAGAAATTAAAGAAACCTCCTTATTTCCTCCCCACCCCCATCACCTGCCTTCTCACCCTGCAAAACATCCCAGACATCCTGTATTCATTCAGGGGGAAAAAAAAAAACAACATAAAACCAAACCACAAACCAAAAAAAACCACCCAGTAAACTAACAAAAAACCCAAGAAAGAGCGCTCCAAAATGCCGAAATCTGTTCGTGCGCTCTCCCACCGGTGAAGCGCAGCACCGGGCACGGGGCACGCCACG